GCTTTCACAACGAAACACAGCGTCACACACGGCGGGCTAGATTGAGCGGAGGCCTAGAGTGAGCAGCGGCTGGCGGCTAGATTGAGGGGAGGCCGGCTTGAGTGAGCGGCGGCGGGAGGGCTTGCGGCAACCACATGTGGCGACCCCGGGCTGGACTCCGCTTCGTCCATGGTGAAAACCGATCCGGCGATCCACAGCGCAAAGTTGATGTATTTCCTCAGCGACCAGCACGGATCAGCTCCAGGCATGACGAAGCGGATATCGTCCTCTTTTGGAAGGCCAAACAAGGTAGTTTCGCTTTCACAACGAAACACACAGCGCCTTCACGACATGGCGGCGGAGGCAACAACAATCCTACAGCGAAAATAAAAGTTACGCCTTCTTTCTTTGCGTGAACATTTGGGCGGCGTTATGCAAATCTTCCCACATAGTGACGTAGACATGTGGGGGCGTGTTAGAACGAGCCGTTTTAGGTAGGCGTGGTTGACGCTTAACTTTTATAAAGAATATCTCTATGGATTTTCAGATCTTCTTTATGCACCAAGAGCTTGTAACACTCCAAAGAGAAAGGAAAAATTTTAATCGCATCATATGACCCCTTTAAGTGTTCACTCTGTGTGCTGCAGTTTATCTAAAATGGCAGGAAAGGACAATTCCTTCATTTAGATGACTTAAAATTATTTAAAATAAGACAAATTATATTTCTCATTTTAATTCTCCCCTCTAACAATTTTTTTTTTCACTGTCTTGGAAAATCTGAATATATAAAGTAGTCTAATTCTAAAGTTGAGATTGATAGACCTGAAAAAGTACTGTAAATTAATACAATCTTATAACTCCATGGGCATTTTTACAAATTTTATGAATATACATTTTCCTAGTCATGCCAAGTTGTAAAACATTTCATCAGGTGGAAATTGTGAGTAAAACATATTTGCAGAAATTCTTATACTTAATCCTTATCCAGTAAATCATGAATAACTGGACAAATCATTCACCCTTCAAATATTGTTGTGGACAACGTGGGGGCCATGGGGTCAAAATATTAGAACTGCTGTCATAGAGACTTTTGATAGGCTTTACTGACCACCTAGAACCTGGTGTCAAATCATGCTCCTGAAGGACCACTGCACTGTCCTGCAGTTTTGTTCCAACCCCAATTGAACACACATGAACCAACTAACCAAGGTCTTACTAGGGGTGGCCAAGTCCTGGAGAGCCACACCCTTTGTCCAATTACCCACACTTGCGGTCTTTGTACTTGGCCACTTGACTACTTATATGATGTATTTCCTGTATTTGGTCTAAGTGTTCAAGTGAGCATGAAGACCACAAGTGTGTGTAGAACTTTTCATTACCTGAAAGGACACACTTACAGTGTTGTAAAAATGCAAGTGTTTACAGAGCTTTATTTTTATTTTCAATACTTTGCATTTTAAAATCAACTTTTAAATGTCTGTTCAGTAGTCCCTATAACAGATGACACAATTTTGTGATGCTTCTAATTCAATTATAAAAAGCAGTTGCAAATGTTTTACAAAATAATCACCACTACTCATTTGCACCAATAAAACGTGCAACTCTTTGTTTTACTACCAAATTATATGTAGCTAATACCTAACTATTAATAATATTTAATATAGGCTACATTGGAACGGTTTCCGTGACCTCTCGCGAGATATCAGCAAAAAGTCTCAAGATTTATTTCCACAACATCATGCATGATGGGATACACTAAGCCTCGAATACCGCTCCGGAGCGGAGTGTGGATTTAGTGTGCGTTAGGGGCACTGCGCTTTGGCGTTTTTAAGACCTGGGACAGTCTGGTGTACTTGCTTCCTGTCGCACGCATGCGCTCTCAAGTGGCCAAGAGTGTAGGTATTTGGACAAGGGGACAGTCCTGCAGACTTTAGCTCCCACCCTAATCAAACACACCTGAGCAAGCTAATCAAGGTCTAAGGGTTACTAAAAATCAGCAGGCAGGTGAGTTTTTATCAAGGTTAGAGCAAAACTCTGCAGGACTATGGCTCTCCAGAACCGACATTGACCACCCCTGTACTAGGCATACTAGAAACTTCCAGGCAGGTGTGTTGAAGCAAGTTGGAGCTAAACTTTGCAGGAAGGAGTTTGGACACCTCTGACCTTGAAACACCCTAGCCACTGCATAGACACATACTGAAATTTAAAACACCTTAGCAACTGCATAGCAACGCACTAAAATGTCCCGACACAAGGGCACAGCAACACACTACAACCCAGATAGCATGCGCACGTCTGCAAGATGTCTGTTAAAGATCGCTTCATCTGGAAAGCATCTGCTGGGTACAAACATCTGATAGACATCTTTAAGATGTCAGTTTTGCATACATTCTAAATCATAAACATCTTAGAAACATCTTCTAAACATCTATTTGACATCTGATAGGAAACGTTCTATAGACGTATTGCAGATGAGCAAAAGCTCTAAAAAATATATGTCTTGCAGACGTCAAATAGACATCTCCGTGATGTATGTGTGCTAGCAGTAGCCTAGCAACTGCATGGCAACCACTAGCCATGGTCTGGGAACCACACACAACACAAGTCTTGCACAAGCAAGCACAAATGTGCTTATTTTTAGCACTTCAGATGTCTTATTTATGTGAAACTATAAGGTTTTAGTATATGCAGCGCCTTAAAACAGGTCACACTTGATTGCACTCTATAATCCGCACGCCTTTCTTTTTGCTGTGCAATGTAGGCTACTGCAGGGAAATTAAAATGGGCTGCAGTGAGATACATTACTGTCATGAAAAAACCGGGATTGCTTTTAGGCTGATGGCTATCAGCAGACGTGTTTGTAAATGAAGCAGTGTGGCACGCGTGAACGTTTTCAAAAGTTTTCACTTTAGCACAGCTTGTGAGACGAATGTGACGGTTTCAACGAGCAGAAGTGATGGGCCTGCATCTTTCTAGCAGGAAGGGTGTGAGCTCTTGGTGGTTTCCTCCCGAGTAGTATCTGATGAGTGAAACCAGTAGTGGGTGCTTTGGGTGTGTTCACTTGGTAGGTTTGTGGTCTACTGAACAAGACAGAAATAAGGTCGAAATGTTTGTGCAACATACAACTTTTACAGGTGCTTTTTGCACCTCCACGCGCGACGGTTATCACGTTAATATTTTTCCTCATGTTTTTTTATGTAAGAACCATTAAATGTCCTACATGCTCATTCTCCTGCTCCGTTAGCCTACTGAAACCAAAATACTTTTGCTGTTGTGGGAAGTGGTCGATTTTTACATATTTAACGTGCATATTTCTGACCCTGCAGTGTGTGCGCGCGTGCGTGTGTGTGAAATTTATGATCTTGGCTGCCTTCATGTGACTGCGTTTCCGTTGCTTGATTGCTTCCGCAATTACTAAAGACATTGCAGAGATGCAGATGTCAAGCACTTTGCATCTTCGGAGAGACCAAGCCAACAGAACCTCCCCGCAAACCGATGTAATGGTCTTCTGTAAACTTCACAGAGGAGCGGAGGGCACGATCCTTGCCACTGGGGTAAGCGTGCACGGTATACCCACGTCAGACTGTGTATAAATGTGAAACGGCCAGGGTGAATGTTTAATAGCACATTGTCTTTTGGTTTATCTTTGATTTAATACGACTTTCAGTACACTCATTACAGGGATAGTCACTTGCCGTATCTTACTCAAAGGTGCAATATTATCAATTTTTGTGGTGATCGAGCTCTTTTAACTGTTTGCAGGATATTGTGTCTTACCTTTGATGCATACAGTGGACCCAAAAGTAATTGGACTCGTAGGTCACACTCAAAAGGTCAAATAAAATTAGAAAACAAAATATCAAACCAACTGGCATCAACAAACAAATGACTTTTTTAGATCTCTCAAATGATGACCTTTTAGATTTTTAAGAGTGAACTTCAATTATGTGCAGTATATACTGTTTTTATATTTAAAATTGATCATTAAAAATTATTAATTTTTTTATTATTTCAATTTGTTTTATTAAAAGTAATATGTCTTCAATTTAAGCTTGAAGTGACTCTTTCTTTTGAATAAATGCCATTTGGTTAGGTATTTTGCTAATGCAGCGACATTAATACGTTTTTAAGTTTGACCTAAGTGTCCAAATGTTTTTAGGGCCAGTGTATATTGATTAATGTCTGTGACAAAATGTGTGCATTTTGTCAATCTGATTTATAACCTGTATCACAGTTGGCTGGAGTCGATTGATGTTAGCTGCAGCCACAAATTTCCGCTGTCCCTGCCACACGTAGACCGCTAGGTGTCAAAAGTATTTTCTGTTATGATATAAAAATTGAAAATGGAGTGTCTTAAAGGAAGAATTTTAGTGTCTAAAAGATTTGAGATGCACTTTATATTACAGTGTTTGTGTACTCATATATTACAAAAATGACATTCTAATGCAACAGCGATGTGTAATTTCAAGCAGATTTACAAAATAATATTTTAGGAACTTCAAAAATACTTCTGTAAATACACCTTTACATGGACACTGTAAAGTGTTCATGTAATAGTGCATTTACATAAAGCATAAATAAAAAAGTATATGTAAGTAATCATATGTTTTTAATATCTAATAACATATATTCTGTATATATATATATATATATATATATATATCATTGTGGTCATGTTTTATTACTTCATTACAGTGATCATGTTAAGATGCCGGTGTTCGATCGCTTGTCCATCGTGCTCTGTCATGCAGTGGTGCCACTACTGGTTGTCCTGCTTTCAGTCTCAGGATATCCGCAGACCTTCCCCTGCAGGCTGGTATGTGAGAAATGGGAAGACTACAAATACATTTAGATGACCACTGATGCGCATGATGATTCTCTGGAAGGGAAATAAGCATATTCCTTTAGCATATTACATAGTAGTTTTCAAATAGAAGATGTATTCAAAATGCTAAATCTTACAGCTGTTACCTTAACAAGCTATTAACTTGTGGTGTAACCTGATGTTACCACATGAAGTACATTTTTAGGTTACTTGACAAAACATGTTTAACATGTATAAACTATTATGAAGTCTAATCAGCAAACCACAAGTGGGCTAAATTTGCTTGTTTGTCTAACTTTGATGTTCTCCATGGGCTTAGAAAAGATTCAGATGGGCCAAATTACCTGTAGTGGAAATGATTAAGCTCATTATTTTTCCATTGTGTGTAAGAATAATCAAAATCAGTCTTTCCTTCTCTTTTTTTTGTCTCTCTCCCCATCTCAAGATCCGAAGCACGGCTCTGTGCAACAGCTGTCAGCTCACTGCCATACCAGATCATTTACCACATAAAACTGAGGAGATCTTCTTAGACAATAACCTTCTGTTAAATCTTCAAGATGGTTGTCTCTCCAGGTATCCTCTTCTACGGACGTTCAGCTGTGGGAACAATCGGCTAATGACGGTGGAAGAGAGTGTGTTCTCTGAATCGCCTCTTTTAAAAAACCTCAATTTAGCCAATAACGAGCTTTACTATGGACACAAGCAAGTGGCCCAGTCCTTAAGCTCTCTGTCCCAACTAAAGACCCTTGATCTTTCAGGTAATGGCCTCTCGGAGGACATGGTGTCTCTGCTGGTACAGAATCTGTCCTCGCTTGAGTCTCTATACTTGTCCCGGAATGCCATGCTGAGGCTGGATGAGTCAACATTCAGAAACCTTCATCAGCTTAGGGAGCTGAACGTCGAGAGAAACTTGTTGTTTGAGATCGATGGAGCATTTGATCATATGAAAAAGCTCCAAAGGTTGAACTTGGCCTTCAACTGCTTACCATGTTTGGTCAACTTTGAAATGACCCAACTGCTGGTCCTAAACGCCAGCCACAATTCCATTGAATGGTTCATAACCAATCAAAATTTGACTGAGACCTTTCAGCTGGAGACGTTGGATCTGTCTGACAACCATTTACTGTTCTTTCCATTCCTTCCAACAAAAAACCGAATAAGAACTTTGTTGTTGTCCAATAATCGAGTTGGTTTTTACCAACACTTATCAAATTACACATCTTCAAACTGGTCCACTAGTGTTGAGTACTACAACTTGGGGCAAAATGTAAGCAGCATCACAGTAGAGCTCTGGAATGAGAACCTTCACGGTGATCTTTCCTCAGTAGAGCTCCTGGACTTGAGTGAAAACAAGGTGAACTACTTCCCTCAGGGATTCATTCAGCAGATGCCGCATCTTTACTGGCTGAGGCTGAGAAGCAACTGTTTACAGTCCTTCAGTTTGACGCCTGAAGATCTACCTGTCACCCTCTATGACCTGGACGTTAGCCGAAACAGGTTAACCGAGCTGAAAGCAAGCCAACACTCCATTAGCGAGCTGAACAATCTCACGCATCTCAATCTGAGTACAAATGACCTTCAGAACGTCCCAACTAGGATTTTTGCTAGTCTACCAAAACTTTGTACACTAGATCTCAGTCACAACACTGTGGATGTGTGTTACTTGCCGAGTTCCTCGGGATGCGTTGAGTGGTCCAACATCGTTTCCCTAAAACAGCTCTATCTTGCCGGGTGTAGCATTCAGAACATCCCGTCTTCAGCGTTCAAGGGCACACCTCTAACCCATCTCGAACTTTCTAACAATCCGGACCTAAACCTCAAACAGGAATCTCTGGAAGGTCTCGCAAACACTTTGCAGCACTTGGGACTTGGTAATACTGGTCTTCAAGACTTTGACTTCTCTTTATACGGCCATTTGAAAAGTTTAAACATCTGTAGAAACTCACTACCAGAACTTCCTGAATCTCTAATAGCATTAAACCTGAAGCTTCTGGACTTGAGGGATAACATGTTGACAACCATCCCGTCCCAACATGCTGGCATGTTAGCTCAAAGACTGCAGATTGTTTATATGAATGGAAATGCCTTCAACTGTTGCCATTTAAACTGGTACAGTACCTTCGGGGAGAATAAAGGCATCAGTATTGTAGATCTCTCAGAGATTACATGTTTGGACTTAAACCACAGGCGTCACAAGGTTGTGCTTTTGGACGCCATCCACTGTGGTGGTTTCAGCAATGAAGAGTCTGTTGTTTGGTACATTCTTCTCTTTGTAACAGTTAGTGTTTCCATCATGGGTATATCCGTCATTTATATGCTCACCTTTAAGCCAAGAATGTTGCCTCGTGCTATTAAAAAGAGATGCTGGAGGCCGGCTCCTTATTGAGATGCATGCTATTGTAAAACTAATGAATGTCTCTGTAATATAATCCAGCAGGCACACAACATCATAAGATGTTGATATTTGGTTAAATTTCGGTTGCGACGTCTGGTGACCAAAATTCAATGTAAATTCAACGTCTAATGTCAGTGTTAAATTGGTGTCCAATACTGACGTCAGCTGATGTTGATATTTTGTTGTTTTTAGGTTGTGTAACCAAAATCCAACGTTAAGTCAAATACTGACGTCAACCCGATTTTCATTTTCAACTAAAATGCAACGTCTGCCCGAAGTTATGCCCAATGTCAATCTGACGTTATATAGACGTCCAGTGCCTGCTGGGAAGGGGCTAACATGTTAAATATGCTCTTAAAGGTTGCTACTTTCAGACATCTGGACATAAAGGAAGAGAAATATGATATTAATGTGAAAGATTTAGGCCATATTGGTCTCTAAACATGAATGTATTTCATTTTATCCTCATTAAAATGCATGAAAAGCGTTTGGCTGCTGGATGGTTTGTCAATGTGAAAGATATTTCCCTTTTAATGAAAAGTTGCAATTATACTTTCAGTCATGATATTTTATATTTGCATTTATTTTATTCATTTGGCAAAAGCTTGATCCAAAGCAACTTGTGGTGCATTCAATATCCCAGGTAACAAAGTTACAAGCTAAAATGTAGAAATGTCCAGTTTTCTTGTTATGATTATAACGTTATTTAAAGGTTACAAAAACATTTCTCACAATGCTCTGCTAACATTATTTTTATCCAAAATATTGCGTTATTAAAGTTAGTCTATTTTTCAATATTCTAAGAACGATAAAATGTCCAGTTTTCTTGTCGTAATTATAACGTTATTTAAAGGTTACAAAAACGTTTCTTAGAACGTACATCAAGTACAAATAACATCATAAGAACATTGTGAGAATGTTGTTCTAATAACGTTTTCTCAACATTATAAAAATGTTCAAGTACAAATAACATCATAAAGACATTCTGAGAATGTTGATCTCTCAAAGGTTTTCTCTCAGTGTTATGAGAACTCATATATAATATTAATAAAGTTACTAGAATGTTCCATAGACATTACTTTAAGAATGTTTACTCCTAACATTTAAATAACTTTTAAAAAACGTTAGTGAAAGTTGTGAGAATGTTCCCTGTTAGCTGGGTTAGACATTTTATTGGTATATGTGTTCCTTGACAATCAAACTCATAAGCTTGTTCTTTCTAGTACTTGATGGCTTGTGCCAGAGCTTTTTATATTAAATGTATAATTTCATTTATTTGATCAAACAAGTTCCCCAGTCAAATATTAATGTGTGAGATTAGGTTAAACATCAAATTAGGGCTGTAACCAACAAAGACATTTTTAGTGGCGGATCAAAATGGGTTTTTCAGTGGCAGATTGTCAAACGTTTAAATTTGGTTACCCTGAATATTGAACATGTTATTACGTCCTTGATTCAAATACATAATCCATTTGCAAACATGCCTCTAAAAGAGCCATACTCGACTGCTGCTAAGAATTTAACACTTGTTATGGTCATATTCATTGACTTGGATTTGATTTGGGGGTCAAATTCTACAAGAGTGTTCTTCATATTATGGGCTTTTTATTATAGGCTATATCAGTCCCAATTAGTCGCTCACTTGCACTACATACTGCATGTATGTAGTTTCTCAGAAGTTCGCAGAGCATTCGCTAAAAGTAGCAAAGGAAACATGAAATTTCCTGTTTTGCTAAGACCTGTAGCAACTGCCCAGCTCTCAGTATCATAGAGGGGGTGGCGGTGGTGTGGTTTTGCTCCATACCGAGTTCTCAGAGGCAGTTGTGGCAGGACGTAAAGGATTGCTATCATATTTATCTTTCATCTGAAATATCGCTCAAGTGGTTCAGTCATTTACACGATTAGGTTCCAATAAAACTCTAAATCTAACTGTAAAACTTAAATCTGTCTAACTGTAAAATCCTTCCAAATGCACAATATACAATATTGTATAACTGTAATATATGATTCTAAAGTACAAACAAAAGGTAATTATGTGGCCGTGGCCACAGTGAGTATCCACATCGACCAATGCAAGGATTCTTTGTCAGATTTCTTACTGCAGGGATCATCAGGGTTAGACCACCAAACCTAAACCATGCTGACTAGCACCTCAGCCTACATGGGATTTCTCATGATTTTGTGGCATAATGTGTGTGACAAGAAGACAAATTAAAGCTAAATATCTGTGAGGCAGCGAGCATGGGAACCTGTCTGTGTGTCGTGTGTATGAGTGTGTTGTTTACACTGCAGAGCCATGTGTGCATGTTAAACCAGAGTGTAACCAGAATACCGCTGTGGTGTTTCTCTAGGTCATGGCGGTTTGAACAGAGAAAGAGAGAGAAAAAGAGAAACTAGGGAGCACAGTCACAGGCATGGGCTCAGAGGCACATCTGCCATAGTTTGGATCAAATTCAGTCCTGAAAAGTCTGTTTAAAATGGGTTGGGGGAAGCAGGGGTTTTATAGGCCTTCAGATATCTCGCAGTATTCAAGTTTCAACTGAAATTAATGACTTTGAGATTGTTTTTAATAATAAAAGTTGTTGTCCTCCAAAGAGGAAATGCACTTTTAGAAACCCTTAAAACAGAGTTATGTTCAACCAAAATCTTTTTTTTTTATCTTTATGATAGGAAAAAATAACCAATGCGCAGGTCTATCTATCTATCTATGTCAAGTCAAGTCAAGTTTATTTGTACAGCGCTTTTCACGATACAAATCATTGCAAAGCAACTTTACAGCAAATTAAGTTTCTACAATATTTAGTGGTAGCTTATCAGTGGTGACTGTCAGTTAATGTACACATGGCATTGATGAAAAATCAATTTAAGACGTAAGAAAACAGACGATGAACACTATTAACAGCAATTATTATATGATGCAATCAAACTTATAGCAAAATGTGGTAGTTCTGTATGTTGTTTCAGGGTTGGCATCATCTGAGGTCCTCTGAGGGGTTGGCATCATCTCTTCTCAGGTGTTCTGGATCCAGACTGAAGCTTGTGTAAGTCCTAGTTACAACAGAGAAACCAACATGTTTCGTAACTTGGCAATGTTTCTAAGATGGGAGAATGCTGTTTTTGTAATATGGGAAATATGATTTTCAAAAGACAAGTTGCTATCTAATATAACACCCAGATTTTTGACTATCTATCTATCTATCATGGTACCATTGTAATACTGCTTTTTTTTTACATTTATAATATTATCTGAGCTATGTTGGAGTAGGCTACAATCTAAATATTTAGGCCGATAATTATTCAGTTCAATAGTATTACCATCTGATACCATCAATGTACCAGGTAAAGCCACATTTGTATTTTGGTAAAAGTTTGGTAAAGGATTAAAGACAAGGGACCCCCAAAATAAATCTAAAACATTAACATTAATACATTATATAAGTATAGTTAGAAATGTAATTTTTATTTTAAATGTTCAAATTAAAATGAATGACATTTCAAACTGACACACACATATACATAAAAACTTTTTTAGATGTATTTAGATTTTGTGTATTAGATTTTTAGATGTACTTTACGTGGTGTATTTTAGATTTGTGTGTAGTTTTCAGAGCTACATTAAAATCGTAAAGTCTCAGTGTTCATCAGGCTTGAGTTTTTTGCAGAAGCAGAAAGGAGCACTTCGCAGGTCGGCTCTCACATTGCTGTTTTCGGGAAGGAACTGAGCATAGCCCTCTCGGCATGTGAGGCTGAGTAACGGCCAGCAAGAATGAACGCCTGCTGAGGCACAACAGCACAGGAAGTCAACAGCCTGTTCAGCACAACTTCCCTTTAACCCTCCCCTCGCTGACCACCCGCGCGCTGTTTACACGAGAGCAACACCAACACATGAGCCTGTCAGCACCGTACGGCAAGACATCAACAACAGCATGTTATATTATATATAATGATGACGCGTGATTTATATTTAACAATGAAGGGGAGTCCGTGACTCTTTAGATTCTTTTTCTCTGTTCATTGAAGAGAGGTAGGCTTTATTCAAGAAAATACCTATTCAGGTACATTCAATAATAATAATAATGTACGAATTATTGCACATTATGTTTAACTTTAAGGTACTTTCCCATTCCAAAATATTATTTAGAAATCAAAAATGACTGCCGAGTGAAAAGCCTGACCTTTACTGACATTTGAAAGAAGTTATTCATATTTCAACATAGATGCTGTGCGAAATACTAACACACTGCTTACTGTTTTTCTTGAAAAAGCATGTGAAACAGTACGCATTATGCAATTATATAGTATTAGTATGCTATACAGCTTCCTTGTTCATTAAAGAGAGGTAGGCTTTATTCAAGAAAATGCCTATTCAGGTACATTCAATAATAATAATAATGTACGAATTATTGCACATTATGTTTAACTTTAAGGTACTTTCCCATTCCAAAATATTATTTAGAAATCAAAAATGACTGCCGAGTGAAAAGCCTGACCTTTACTGACATTTGAAAGAAGTTATTCATATTTCAACATAGATGCTGTGCGAAATACTAACACACTGCTTACTACTGTTTTTCTTGAAAAAGCATGTGAAACAGTACGCATTATGCAATTATATAGTACTAGTATGCTATACAGCTTCCTATTTACCTATTGTTTCATTTAGTAAGTGTGCGTCCATTTGTCATCTTTGAAATAAAACTCTTTAATTTATTTGGTTAGTTGGTTAGTGCCTTGAATGTCTTATAGGAATAGTTCGCCCCAAAAAATATATTCACCCTCAGGCCACCCAAGATGTAGATGAGTTTATTTCTTTATCAGAACAGATTTGGAGTAATTTAGCATTAAATTACTTGGTCACCAGTGGATCTTCTGCAGTGAATGGGTGCCGTCAGAATGAGAGTTCAAACAGCTCATAAAAACACCACAAGAAGTAATCCACAGACTCCAGTCCATCAATTAATGTCTTGTGAAGTGAAAAACTGTTTGTTTGCAAGAAAAACTAAATCAATTAAGGCATTTAAACTTTAAACTGTCACAAGAGAAAGCAATATTATGGACAGATGACCTGTATTTTAGCCAGAAGCAATGGTTTGAAGTTAAAAACATCTCAAGCTTATTAACTCTGTAAGTATACTGCAGAAAGAATTAAATACATATTCTGAACAGCACATGAAATGAGACGAGACGATTCAAAATCAAAACAGAAGGGTAAAAAGTCAACACATTTTTGTTTATTATGTAACAAAAACATTGTTTATAAATCTGTTAGTAATCGCAGAATTTAAGCAGTTAGATAACCTGTGTTTTTGTAGTTATACTGTCAGAGTAAACAAAAAAATTGTGCTTTTATTAAATATTGGGTGGCACAATATGCATAAAATTAGCACTCATCTCTCAACAATGTCTTTTTTTGCTTTAAAGAGTTTAAAAACATCAATTCCAAGACAAATGTAAGGCACATAGGTATAAAAAAGTACTGTTATCAGTAAATAGATTTTGTTTTTATCATGAAATGAATAGTTCTATAACTAGATGTATGCTTAATGTGGTTTGAAGTATATAAAGACAGTTTCATAATGCATAACAAGAAAGGCTGTCTGCGTGCAAATAAAGCATTTTCTTTGTGTGCTCAAACTTTTAACGCAATAAAGAGAAATGTAAACCGCAGAAGATGGCTGGGCTGTATATGAGACCCTGAAAATAAATTATGGCATATTTACGTCTCCACGTCTACATGAATGCTTTTAAAATGCTCTAGAACCTGAAATGAGTTCATGTACATAATGGAAACCACTTAAAATTTCAGAAAAATTACAGTCTTTTTAACTGATAAACTGACTGTTTTCTATTGTGCTCTTACATTATCGCCACGTTTTTCCTGTTTAACACTGTAAAGCTGCTTTGACAATCTGTATTGTATAAAGCGCTATATAAATAAAGGTGACTTGACTTGACTAACACTTTCTTGTTGTAAACACATGTAAATACTCTAAGACACTCTTGCTTGTTTTTTTTTTTTGTATAATATATAGGCATGTCACATCAAAAGCATAAAAAAAAATATTCTGCATTAATTCATTTGTAAACACTTGTCCGGTTAGAACCTCTTCCCATTCTGGGACTGCCAGATGTCACATCCAATAAAATACTGTTGCATGTAAGCAGCACGAGATGTCAAGGTTGCATATACGGTACGCAGCACAGCTGGAATACACTATACGTTTCTGTTTCCAACAACACTTCTTTTTTTTTTTTCTTAATTTAGTAGCTCCAAATAAGTAATGGGCACTTTTCCCTTCTGATTTCCACGTTCACCCATCAGCCAATCAGAGTCCATGCCTGGAACGCTGCTCACCATGATCACCTGAAATAAGAGACAAGTTAGTGGGAATTCAAACCATAAGACTGTTGTACAAAATAAAAATGGGCCGCCCACCTCATCGGCCAATAAGGAGAGCTCATTGCTGCCTGCGGCATCGTAATCATAGAGCACCCGCGCTTTACGGCTCCCGCTGAAGTTTTGCAGCTCGGTGAAACCTGAAGACGCATTGGTTGTGGTGGCAGGAAGAGGGGCTGAGAGCGGCAGGATGGGTACAGATACGCTGGCTGCGGCGCTGGCTGTTGACTGGTTGTTGTTGGAAGAGAAAGCCGAAGGGAAGCTAGAGGGAAAAAAGAAAGTCCAGATGAGTTATATAATTATTTAAATTATTATAAAAAGAAAAAATATACACTGGTAAAAAATGACTTACCTTCCCAACTGCTTTTGGAGGTCGACCATGTACTGGTAACACTGGGCGTAATATGTCATCTGAGCCTCCACAAAATCATTAAGACAGTGGAGATGATGGGCCTGGGACAAAAACAAGGTTGGGAGAGAGATGATGTGGTTTGTTATAGATCAGACCTTGGGATTGTAGAATAAAACTGAAGGGTTGTGAGAATTGAATTGGCAGGCGGCCCAGTGGGCGGCAGGTTTTCACATGAGCTCACATGCGTACTGCTGATTCCTTCCAGAAGAAGCCTGGTGATCTCTGCCTGTCTGTCAAACTCACTCTGTGTCAACTTCAGGTCCTGCTCGGCCTGAAAGAGAGAGAGAGATAGTCGGGGAATGTTTCACTTACATAAAACGTACACAATTGTGGATGATGTGAGATTCATCACAACTAATGCACTTAAAAGACCTCACATTGTTTAAAGAGAACAAAGCAACTGGGAACTGAAAAAATAGCCAGTGCGTTTTCATACAGATATTGTTGACCGGTTTTAAAGAGAAAACCAAGCGCTAGTCTGCTAGCGATGAGCAAAAACTACGTATTTTCAAAATCAACTAGTTGATAGATGAGCAGTCAGCTAGTCGGTATTAAGGAAGCTCTGTATAAATCCTCTTAGAGAAGTTGTATCTCTAACCCGTGTCCAAATATGTGTACTTCCTAAGTATAAATACGCATTTTAAGTAAATGGAAAATACACAGATGACACATTGCTTCCGCTGACTGAGATTATGAAGTTAATGCAATAATATAAGAAATATGGGGATTTTGGATGCAGTATGTTGTTAACTATAAATAACTAAATATAATTTTCAGTAATGAAATTAAGCTGAAATTAAATAAACTATTAGATGAAAAAAAAAAAAACTTACAATGAAAATTAGAAATGCTACATGGCAACTAATTGAAATAAACTTTAAGTTATAACGTAAGTACTAAAATGACTAAAACTGAAAAATGTAATTAAAGTTAAAAGAATAATAAAAAATAATAAACTAATACAAATGACAAAAAAAAAAAGTGAAAACCGAAAATATGCTTAAAAACAATTCAAAATATTATTAACTAAAGGAATACTACAATAATACTGGTGAGGTCAAAAGTAATTAAAGATTAAAAAATAATAATAAACTAATAAAAATTACAAAAATGACTAAAACTTGAAAACTAAAATGAAAATGAAAATATAGATAAAACAATTAAAATTTCAAATTATTATTAACTAAAAAAATACTAAAATAATACTGGTGTGGTCATAAAATATTAAAAGAGACTTCAGTAAAGTCAGTGTCATGCAAGATCCCTTGTGATGACCTTGCATCTGTGTTTTCAGTTTGCCTTCAGTTAGCAACCTAACACCGTAGCCTACTAGCATAGCTCATTCATTTTTAAAGAAAAGTTCTTTTGATTACCTAGAACAGGATATTTTGCTGTTTTTGATCATGCATTGGGGAATCTTGTATGACACTGGAAAGTGGAAACGTAAAAATGACATGCACAAAAAAAGCTTTGTTAACATAGGGTGACCATACGTGCCATTTTCCCAGGACGCGTCCTGGCCAGGATTTCTATATTGCCTAAAGTATCTAGGTTTTGGCTTTGCGTGTGCATACCGATCGGTGTATGACATCAAAATACCATACAGACGGTTCCTTAAAGAAGAATGTTCTGGCGCGCTAATGTGAAAACTGCAAACTGTGTCATGATGAGTTTCTCTCTGCAGTGAAAAACTGAAAATAGACTAGTTGAACTACATTGCCTAATGTTTCGTTTCCAGCATTTTGTGTTAACATAGGGTGACCATACGTGCCATTTTCCCAGGACGCGTCCTGGGAAAATGGCACGTATGGTCACCCTATGTTAACACAAAATGCTGGAAACGAAACATTAGGCAATGTAGTTCAACTAGTCTATTTTCAGTTTTTCACTGCAGAGAGAAACTCATCATGACACAGTTTGCAGTTTTCACATTAGCGCGCCAGAACATTCTTCTTACCTTCGTCACTTCCTCTGCCCACATCTGCACAGCATTTGAAAACAGCGATAATACATTTAGAGACAGACATGAGTGTTAACACTAAACATCCAATAGCAGCTAACATCACTGAGGAAAATTTAGCACAGTAACCCAAGTTTCCACCAAAATACCATAGTTATTACTAGTTATTGTGATTAAAACATAAAAAAATCATGTGATGTCCTTCAAATAAGACACTTTCAGAGTCATTTTAATTTCTTATGTTGATGAAAGTGACGCTAACACCAAGTTAACAATTTTATCATAGTAATAATAAATATAACATGGTATTTTGTTAAAAACTATGGTTAGCATGATTAAGGATTCAACATAAATCACTGCTGCAGGGAACATGGACTATTTGTAGAAAAAATTACTTGCGAAATTCACAGCGAATCGAAGCAAACTAAACACTTCCCATTTTGAAAGAGGGCCGCTGTTTGTTAGGGTACCAATGTGTTTAAGTGGGTATATATATATATATACATGTGTGTAGGTTGAGTGCCGGTCATGAGGAGATCTTGAAGCACTTCTTTACTTCTCTTGTGAAACTGGGGCCAAGGGCAATGAGCAGTTTTGAAATGTCATCATGATGTTGAGCAAACATAGATATCCTCTTTCCAAACTCTATATGCACAACAAAAAAGGAACCTGGGAACACACACATGCTGCTAATATCTGGGACAAAAGAGCTTAATCAACAGCTTAAAGAGGAACTAACGTCTTAAAGGTGGCTCTTCTGAAGCAGAACAGTGCTTGGCACTCGAGTGAAAGACACACAGACCAACCTTCAGCCACTTCACATGGAGGAAATTCACCATGAAGGAGAAATTGGTAACATAGCCAGCGTCCCCTGGAGGAGGGGTAGTTCTGAGGGGCTACCGTGTGCCGACGCAAAAACAAGAGACAGCGAAGAGCTGCATTTAGAGGAGATCTCTGATTACTAGTTGTCTAGGCGGTAGCTTATTTGTAAAGAAGTTCAATAGGAAAATCACTGACATTAAATCATATTTAAATAAGCAATAATAACTCACCAGAGCTCTGGCATCAGCCATTTTGGCTTTCTTTAGCTTGGTCTTTGCAGCATCAAGGTCCAGTCGTTTGTTTTGAAGCAGTTTGCGCTCTTTCTGTATAGAAGCAGACGTGTTTGGTTTGTTGAAGTAAAATTTTTGTTGTTAAAAACTCAGACATTCTTTAAGTTAAACCTGTTGCAGCTTCACATACGTTTGGATGGTTTTTGACCTCTTAAGAACACAATGAACCATAGGTTTTTTTCAGAATTAGTCTTGTCTTTTTTAGTGTATCTGATTCAAATTTATTTCGTTTTTTTGTAGTCCCCCCCCCCCAAAAAAACATTAAATCCATATTTACAAAGCTGATCCATATGTGGTTTAAAAATGTAATCAAAATCAAAAATTGTATGCATCCCAGTTTTAATTTACAGTTTAATCTCAGTATGATTTTTGAAAAGAAGACTCTTATGCAGTAAAATTCAGTAAAAACCGTAATGTTGTTAAATATTAGTACAGATTAAAATGACTTTTTTTTTTTTTTCATATATTTTAAAATGTAATTTATTCTGTATGATCCTTCAAAAATAATTTTAATATGCTGATTTATTACTCAAAAAACATTCATTATTATTAATGTTTAAAACAGTTGTGCTGCTTATTTTTTTGGGAAAACAAAACAACAGTATTCATTTGAAATAGAAACTTTCGTAACAATGTAAACGTTTTTACTGTCACTTTTGATCAATTTAATGCATTGTTGCTGAATAATAGTTTTTTTTTTTACTGAGTCATACTGACCCTAGACTTTTGAATGCTAGCACACATAGCAATGTTTAAGAATAAAATGTTCAAGAAATCCATGTGTTGTTAGGGTTGCCTGATCTCACCAATATAGTCTTGAAATCTCCTTCTAAAAAGTTGCGGAAAGGCGTGAGGAAATTGATAGCAGAGCTCTGAATGAACTCTCGCTCCGCTCCTCCGATCTGCTTCTCCGTCTCGCCGCACTTTATCAGAGCGTTTCCTGTGGACAGAAACAGACTGAATCAATATTTTAACAAAATTATGAGATGTCTAGAGGGTATTCTCATAACAATAAATAGGCTTTCACATCTGATTTACAGACTACTAGTGTTTTAGGCATTTACGTTCAAGCAAGAGGAAATGGGGCATTGGCACACAGCAATGGACTACTATTATGTAGTACTATTAGTACTACTGAATGAAGTACTATGGGTAATTAGGGCACTATGCTGCCCTTGTGTTTGATGCTTACCGTAGGCCGTTCCAGGCCCAAATTCATTCCCAGAGTCTATCATGGACTGACCCAGAAGCTCATGGTTGTTCATCCGTGTTGGCACCTTTTTGTCCAGTTTTTCATACAAGAACTCTTCTATTCTGACATCTGAAAATGCAGGTAATAACAATTACATTATAATGCAAACCTATGTTACATATTAGGACTATGGATCAATGCCACATACACAACTCTTTAATTCATTGATTTTGTTTTAATATGAAGGTTTTGTTTGCATATGAAGACTGATTCAAATATTTATGAGTACACTGTAAAAAGTGATACTTTACATGGTACAATTGTTACTTTACAGAGCTATTTTTACCTGATCAAACAGAACTTCAGTCTCATTGGTGTAACCTGACGCATTTAGGTAGATTCAGTGGTGTTCAATAATATTTTTAACTTAAAATCTATTAATTTAGATGTTAAGACTTCCTTTTTTCAGTGTATGACAAGACTATTAATAATAATAATGGAAAAATAACCTCTAAATACAAAAAGAAGCGTAAAGGAGTGTAATTTTCCAGATGTGATTGAGTAGACAGGTGTGCGTGCTAGTTCTGTGTTTTGATCAGCTGTTTGTTCCCTCTCTGTTTCTCTGTCCTGCTGATTTCTTTTTAAGTGGTGTGGCAGCATAAGTGAGGAGAGCAGCTGTAGTTTCTGACATTGCGGTGAGATTTGAACACTATGAGGAAAAGATTAAACAATGGTTTCCAAGATGAACCTTGTGAGAGAAAAATAGTAATTAAATTGTACCATCAAAACATACAAATATTAGAAAGTCCTAGAAACCTAACTAATTAGATTCAGATGTCATCGCTAATGAATCGTCTAATCACTGAATGGATCTTACTTGGGTTTGGTTGCAGTAACACTTCCGTCTGCTTCAAAATCTTCTCTGTCCAGTGTTTAGAGCTTTCAGCTCTGGTGAGGAGATTGTCCAAATGTGCATCCAACTCCGTCTTCTCAGCCTGGCCGAATTTTTCTTCTGTGAACTGTTTGTAAAGACAACAGATTTTTATTTTATTGTTGTTTTTTGAGGAGCATACTTTGCCAATATTACTGTCAAAAATATCTGAAACAAGGTATCTGAAACTTGATAAACACACTGAGGTGTTTGTTATTGCATTGTGTTATGTGAGTGGTTGTGTCTCAAATCCTAGTAGCAGCGTTTATGGCCGTCATATCAGCGTGTTTTTTTATTTTATTTTCTTTTTCTTTATCCACGTCATCAGCAAACATGACAATCTCTATGCTGATGGCTAAAAATGTTGTCTAGCTAGACAGCTTGGTAGGTTTTAAGACACAGCCTTTGTGTGTGGATGTGCTGAGGTCTGCCGGATTAAACTCTGCTTTAGCCTGTTAGCGTTAGCATCACAAACTGAACCTGGACAAAAAGTGAAAACATCAGTGTATTTTGGCCATATAACAAAGTATACATGCCTATAAGACATAACTGAGCATTTAATGTTTGATTTTGCAGTAAAATAAAAAAAATAAGTCTGTAATGCGTAGTCGCTGAACAAAACAGATTTAACGTTACAGCGCGAGAGAGAAAGAGAGGCCGTGGATAAGAGAGAAACAGATACAGAAATGCGGGGTGATATACATAAAAATTATCTTAAAGCGCCTTAATGCCCCAAAACGCAAGTGTTTAGGATCAAATTGTTGAAGTAAAACTTAATTTAAAACTTTAAGCATCGTTACTAATCTGAATTAGCACTTACTTGCACTGCCCGGCTGAATAAAGTACCAGCGTCCGCTGCCAGTCTTTTCACGTTAAAATCCATCTTTAACTTTTCTATATAAAACTATTTATTAAAAGTGAGCGCGCACGTCTGGATGGTGTAAACAAATGTGATGGCATCAATTTGATCCTTTATTACAACGCCCTGGTTTTTTGTGAAAGTATGACTGAAGCAACAGCCGGCAGAGCAGAGGAAGAACCACCCACAGATCCGATTACTGCGAGCCCAGAACCGGACCTGGACCACGAGAAGTGTCCGCTATCGGCATATGGGTCCTAATATCATGAACATTATATGAAACAAAACGCTGTCGGGAATTTTCACTGAATCATTTTCATTAATATATTCTGTCGAGTTGCACAGAGATCCGGGATATTGTGTTCGAAGGGCCAGACTGCCATAGTGAGTGGGTAGCATGTTTTTATGTTGTGAAGCTGTATGCTGAGCTCTTTTCTCTTGTAGTTAGTTCAACTTTAATCAAGATGTGCGTCTATGTGTTTATATGTGTATAGCGCCCTCTACGGGCCAACAGAGTAGAATGCAAGAGGATAGTGGGTTCTATCTATCTATCTATCTATCTATCTATCTAAGATAGCAAAAAAAAAAAAAAGTTAGCCTATATGTGCTAATACTTAAATACTGACCTTTAAATTACCTTTTAGTTTGTTCAGTGTGAAAAGCAATATTTCCTCTGTGAAATAAGTATTTTCATCTCACAGCAAAGTTATCATCGCTAGATGGCAGCATGTAACAACAGCAGTGTTCTTAATGAATGCGTTTGAGTTCTGCTCACCTGCCTGTAATTTAGAGATAAGAGTTTAATAACAGGAGAAATGAAAGGATCAAGGAGGGTTTTGACTTTTGGCATACTTCAAATAAAATGAATCACGTCATATTAAATGTCAAGTTTATTTATAGATGTTAATATCCAACCCAACTTTTGTTGTTTAAATAGGGGTTTCAGGTCTTTTATTACATCTATATATTGATAAATATAGAAAGATATTAACTGATGATTTTAACTGAAAGGTTATCAGGACATGCATATTTTTCATAAAGGTCAGGCAGGCAAGCTGTTACATATTAACTGGAACAAGTTATTGCGGAGTTTTTAAATGTTAAATGTATAAATTTTTTGTGTGTAATTTTTATGCTGTTTCGTAATTTTTTTTTAGTTTGTAACAGTTTATTACATTTTTTCTCCCCTACCTTGTTTCTGGTCTCTGCAGCATCTGCGCTTGTAACCTAGTAACTGAATATCCTGGCCCAGCCCCCTGCATGCAACGTCATTTGATTGACAGGAGGATGCGGCGTGGTTTTCAGCACGCTCGATACACACGCGCACTGACGCGTCCACACACAGAACCGGAGAGCGTCTCATCCTCTTCACCTTTTCTGTTCGTGCGCATGCAAGTTTTTTTTTTTCCACTGAGGGTGCAAGTGTTTTTGTTCAGACACCGACAGAAATGAACCCAATATTATTTCGTACGAGAACCTGCTAAATCGAAAATATATATTTTTAATATTACTTTAAAATATTATTTTGTTACTCTCATATGCAAGAGCGATGGATTTTGTTCTCGTCGCCAGTGTTAAATAGGCTAAGCCTTTGCCAAAGAACAAAAGCATTATTTTGGGAGATGGGCAGTACTGCAATGGATTCTAAGAAGAAAGAAGAGAAGAAAAATTCAAGAAAAAGGAGATCGCTTCGTATAAACATGCCTGTAAGTTAATATCTGACGATACTGATGCTTTTCTCCCACAGATTCAAAGCCAAAAGTTGTGGACATGGACTTAGAACATGATACAAACATAGAAATGTAAATTATATTCTCTTTGCTAGCAATGACATTGTGAAATGACCTGCAAATTTATTTGACTTTTATTTCATAGGGTTATTTTATCAAAAGGTGTTTTTGTCTTGTGTTTATCGAATATGTTTGCAAAAAAATGAATATTAATTTTTTTATATTTATTAAATAATGTTTTGTTATTATTATTATTGCTACAGTCCCAAATATTTACTTTCAAAGACAAGTCAATGATGTCATTATTAAGATTTAGACCACTGGCATGTGTGTGTTAATGTATTGCATTTATGTCAAGTCAAGTCAAGTCTGCTTTATTGTCAATTCTAACTCACGACTGTATGCGCGCTTAGAGACAGATAGACGCGACGAATACGTACAAAAACACTGCGACTCACAAGACAAAAAACACGAAAACACCTTTCTGTCGGGAGAGAGAGAAGCTGCAGCATATGAACGCGCCGCCATCCTTGGTCAGGACGTCTTTGGTGAGTATGTGCATATTTAAGACAATATGTCATATCTGAGACCTTGATATTAGAATTTATTTATATAATTGTATTTTTTTTGGTATATAGCATAACACATTATTTTGACAGTATTTTATTCATGTTTTTGTATAATTATTATTATTATTATCATCACATACTGCATGGTCTCTGAGATATTAGCTAAACATATAAATGGTTTGCATATGTATATTAGCAAAGTCTCCTGGTTCTCAAAAGAAATCATGTTAACACTTCCTATCCTAATCAGTATCATTATATTCAAATCAACCACTTCCTCACATAAATAGCAATGAACATGAGCAGGTGTGGACCATATTTCAATTGGCCACACCTGACTGTGTTAAACATGGAGTCAGTCATCATCTTTAATGGCTTAAAGAACCACAAATGGCTATCAGTTAATGTGTGGTTTTCCTAAATTAATTTTTATAGAAACACAAAGGCTTTTAATTAACTAATAATGATTATTACTGAACCTGTATAGACACAGGTATATAGTGAGAGTAACAGATGTGAGATTTTACACAACGTCAGGATTCCAGCTTATTTTGCTAATAAAATAACAGCATAACATAAGAAGTAAGTATGTTATTAGATTTAAAAGAAACCCCTGTACAATAAGCAGTGTTTTGATTCAGTCAGCTCAAGCTGTAATGAAACTGTAAGTCTCTGTTTCTTCCAGTGCTGGAGCCACTGAGTAATCACCTGCTAATTAGCAGTTTACTGTCATTATCAGATCGGTGTCCTTACTGAGTAATCCTATGACTATAAACAATATTTATCAGTAGGGAACACAGGTTCTGCATAGACATGCAAGCATAATTTGTTACATCGTGGCATTTTTGACAGTTTCCTGACATTTTAACAGGTATATGTGAAATATGTGTTGAGGGTGAACAATCTTGAGCCATAGCGATGAACACTTTGAAAATGTCCTCTTAAAATGCTGATAAACTCATATATAGCTACTGTAGTGAGTTATTTGAACAGAATACATAAATGCTGGTTTTAATGTTTTATTAAACTTTTTTTATTAAACTGTATCGAGGATTAATATGAAAATCAGGGTTGGAACTTCTCGTCACTCATAAAATGTCCAATATCAAATCTGTCATATTGACATATGACATTTATGGTCATTCAAGTTTGAATCGGTAAACTATTAGGGTATTTAACCACATTTACTGCTGTATACTCTTGGTAAATAAATGACTGAACTAAAGGTCACAAAGCCAGCATTGTTACTACGTACTACACGCATACTTTTGCACATAATCAACCCGGATGAACCCGCATGCACTTTTGTGTACATAAGCAATAGGTTCAGTGATTTCCCTATATTTTGAATTCATACAAAAATAGACACAAATATATCTTTCTGAGTGCTTTTTGAAGTTTAGTTTGGTTATTTGTGTTTCGTTTTCTGTGGCAGATGTCTTAACTTTAGTGTGGTAAACTGAGATTCTTGCAATGTTGTACTATACAGACTTGTGAAAAAGAAGTGTGCATAATTGTAATAAATGTACTTGTACTGTACTTATTAAATCTTAAAGTAAATGTACTTTAAAAAAGATAATATATTATTAATGAAATAAAAGACCACTTAAGTGTACTTAGAGTACACTTTCTTAACACTTAAGTATGCGTAAAAAGAGCCGTTTGTAATAGTCAAATTAAATGCTTTACTTTAAAGTACAGTTAATATATTATTAGTTAATATATTATAAATGTATTTAATTGTAATTTAAATACTTTATGTACAAATTTTAATAGAAAAAATTGAAGTCTGTTTTAATTTACCATAAATGCTTGTCGCTATATTCAGTGTTACCAAGTTTTCCCGCGGAATTGGGCTACTTTAACACTGTAGCCGCGGGTTGTTTTTCATGTCCGCGGGTTGAAGCGACCCCAATAACATGATATTTATCACCTGGAATGCGAATTTTAGCAGGGGAACCCTGCCAAAAAATGTGTATTTTACCCCCCGGAGTGTGATTTTTTAAAATTGGGGAACCCCTTGAAACACGATTGGGCTAGTTTTGAGTAGCGATTGGGTGGGTTTTCTTGTGAAAACCTGGCAACCCTGGCTATATTCGACAATTCACTCAAAGACAATAGAATTATGAAATAAAATTACATATAAAGTGCTTAAGTCCTACTTACATGGGTGTCACGGTCCGGATGTGTGGCGGCAGGCAGGACAACGAGGACGACAAGGATTCCAATAATGACATCCCGTTAAGCCCAGGGAGGGCTCCTGTTTCCCCGTTAAGCCCAGGGAGGGCTCCTGTTTCCCCGGAACTAATATATGGTGGATAATTAGTGGCAGACAGGTGAGCACAATGAGGGTAATTACTGATTAGACGGGCTAAACCAACACAAAGGGAAGAAACCACAACAAACAGTCCACAGGGGCGTTACAGTGGGTCAAAAAGCATTCTTAAAATCAACTAATTGCATTTAATATTTAAACAAACACTTTTTAATTTAATTGTAAATAATATCAAAGTAAGCGTCTGAAAACATTCAGTTTGCACTTAAGTTAAAATGATCAAGTTTATTCAGCTTTGTTACTATATTCAGTGTGTTTTGCTTGAGTATTTTTTTTAACCTTAATGTGCAGGTTTATTGTAATTACCATATTTATTAGTAGGGATGCACCAATAATAATATTCTGATAGGCTGATAATTATTTGTATGTTATGTCCAATATTATAATTCTACATTCTTTTGTCTAAAATAAAATAAAATAAATAAATACATTTTATTCAGCTTTGCTTTGTTCCTATATTTGGTGTTCCTATATTCATTTAATTGTAAATAATATCAAATAAAGCTTCTGAAAACATTCAGTTTGCACTTAAATATATTCTTTTAGAGTATAATATTTATATTAAAGTAT